TATTATTATTATTATTATTATTATTATATTTATTAACTCCAAATCTAGGACAGGAGATGATATTGTGCAGTATTTTACGGCTGTACATTTGTAAATTACTTTTCGCGTGCAAACTGAACAGCAATCCGGTACTGTGGTCCATTGCAAATCCACAAAATCAATGAAAGTAAGCAATTTTCTTCCTAAAGCCGAGATTCCGATACGTTTTATTTAATATAAGATGCATTACTTTGACAGTGAAAACAGTTAAATACAGTGCAATCCCGATTTTTCGAACTTGCAAGGGAAAATTACAGCGTTTGACTGAGGAGGTAAAACGACTTCTGGTTTGAGTTATCAGAAGGTTCGAAAAACTGAATGTCCGAGAAACCGGAATTCAACTGTATAAATAACGCGCATCGCACTTGGTGATTTATAAAGCGTACGTATCCAGTTGGTGTGCAGTGGTTCAAAGTCAAATTGCGAAAGTATATATCAATCTCAAATGATCAGAAATGAAATATTGTTATTCTTCCCGACATCAAACAAACCCTCAGGATAACGTGTATTCAGCGTAAAGCTTCGAGTGTTAAATTTTTAAGTACGGCTACGTCTTAAGCCAAACGAAGTATTGCTGAAATATTGCTAAAACGTCGCCTAAAACGAAAGTTTGCAACGCTTTCGCAAAATTCTTAGAAATTGCCGCAATTCGGTCAATTCCATCTGTATCATTTTTCAACAGTACTGTAGATGGATAATTTATTGTCAATTTTCCCTTCGTAAAGGACAAAAACTCAATTGACATTATAAGCTGGCGAATCCTTAGTTTCTCTGCAAAATGGTATTTCGTAGGAAGCAAACCAAAATTACTTCGTAATTTAGATGCCAATAAGATGGATTCTGAAAAGAAACCAGTATTTTAATATTAAGGCAAATGCAAATACGGTGCACTGCACTTGAATGTTTGGAAACCAAAACATCATTTCTCTAACTTCAATTGAAGATTTTAATTAAGTTTACTTTACTTGCTTTTCACGTCATTGTGTAATCGGAAACCTAGCAAAACAAAACTCGATTTTCAATTCAGTCTAAATCAATTTTTCATATATTTTACTCAAATAAACGACTACAAGATGATTGCATGTGAACCGTATTTGAGTGTTTTTGTCTTGCCCAGCTGTGCAGTTTTTAATTAATTTTGTTCGCTTTGCGCTGATTATACATTATATTCTATGTTGGCTGTGACTGAACGTGCCGTACCTACGCTGAGCAAATTCATCAAAGAGAAAATAATTCATTTCTTGAATAGTCGATTAATCTCGATGATAACCATGTCATTCATGTTGTCTTTGCTGTACACGAAGGTACACATGAGGTGCACGCCTCATGCACGCCTTAAATCAGTGAATCTTTTTGACTCGCTTTAGTCTAACCGAAACGTTCTGCACGGTTCTGATCATTATACTACTTTGGTTTTACAAATCTTCGTAATACTACGCCCTCCTTTGATGATCTACGCAATGTAACTTTCTTGAAACAGAGATTGCGCTATTCATAGGTATTAGGGAGTTTAAGTAACGACGATGGCGACGCCATGGACAACGTCGACTAAAAAATGAATTCATATTTTTACCTAAGAATTTTGCGGTACTCTAGTCATTTCGATTCGTTTGTTTCTCTTTGTCAAATCTATCCCAAAACTGAGTATTGAACACAGCGTACAACTGGAATTAAAAATGTCTCCAGACGACGCAGACTTTGGGCATTTCGCGTTGTTGTTTTGCAGGGGACGGCAAAGAAATGTACCAAACAATTATAACGTACGTGCACAATCGCTGCATTTCTTATTAAATCTTTTGTTTAGCGACGTTCTCGTTGCCGTCTTCTTTAACTCCCTACTGATGAGAAGTTAGGTGCGTGAACCAAAACTGCATAATTTAAAGTTGTTAGTCTACATCAAGTGGCTGGTGGCAAGAGGTGGGGCGAATAAATACTGATTGAACCAATCCTACCGATTGGTTCATATCCATAATTTATCCAAAAAAGAAATGTCTTCCATGGTGATGATAAGAATATTTTTACTTTTTGAATTATTTGTTGGCCACAGGTGAAAGGAGAAGGGGAAAATTCGTCTGATGGTCGTTTTCCAATCTCGGTGGACCGCCCTGTTCAATAACACGATGAAGCTTTTTACAAATGATTCGTTCAGGCTTTGCATCCTGGATGGTGTCGCAAGAGACCGCAGTTCTGTGTTTCACGCAGTAACTCTCACGGCTTTACTGATCACTGCAATTTTATCTCCAGTGGCAGTGGTAGGGAATGCATTGATCATGGCTGCAATTTGGAAGAACAAGTCTCTTAAAACACCAACCTACGTTCTTCTCCGTTATTTGGCGTTTACTTATCTTTGCAATGGACTCGTCATCCAGCCTTTTTTTGTTGCAGGCGAACTTATTTGTTTGGAAACACCACAGAAGATAAACAGTCTGCCTTTATTCCAAATTTCTACTGCAGTTATTACATATGGATGCGGTGCTTACATTTGTTTCTTGTCTGTGTCGCTTCTTACACTGATGGCAATTGAAAGATGGCTGCACATGGCTCGCCGAACTTTGCTGACTGTTCGCCGTATCCATTTTATCATGGTAGCAGTCTCACTTCTTCTGATTCCTTTTGCAGTCTTTCACTTTTTGCGCATCTTCAATAATACGTATCGACTCGCTACTGCTATCACCTTTTTCTTCGTTTTCCTGTTTTGTACTATAAGCACAACGCTTGCTTATTTTAAAGTCTTTCAAATCATTCGGAGTCACAAACGACAAATTCGAGCAAACGAACCGGCTCATAACTTTTGCCATCAGGCAATCAACTTAAAAAAGTACAAAAAATCTGTGTTCTCGATGCTTTATATTTTAGGAGTATTTTACATTGGTTTCGTGCTCGTCCTTTTCTTCCTTGGACTATCCATCTGGTTGAAGGACTCTCAATTAGAGTTGTTTTCTACAGTGTCAGCGTCATTTTTGTTTTTGTCCTCTTCGCTTAGTCCTCTCATTTACCTTTGGAGGATGAGTGATATTCGCAATGGTGTAAAGCAGTTGCTGAAGCAACTATTTTGTAAGGTGGACAACTAAATGAGAACTCAGATGAATGTATAGTGTCATAAAATGACACTTTTCTGGTCTATACGCTTAAGACACTTTAAAATGCATATAGTTGACGATATCAGGAAGTCAGTGTAAAATTTGATCTTACCTAAATCGCAACATTTTGAAACATAATATCAAATATCACCTTTATATTCAAATGCAAAGCTGTCATTTTTTCTTTGCAATAGGCCATGTTCGAAATGTCAGTAACATGGTTCAAAGGCTTTCGAGACAAACGCCTATATTTGGTGTTGTTTTCTTTGTATCCAAGTGTCCTGTCCAATTTCGGTATATTAAAATTGAGCCCAAGACAATAGATCTCAGCACGAGGCTCTGGGGAATAACTACAGAGTTTATGGCCTCGTGCTGAGGTCTATTGTCTTAGGCTGAATTTTAAAATATCGAAACTGGTCTATTGAGGGACAAAACAAACTTACAAAATTTGCAATTTTGACCTGAAAGCCTCGGAGCCATGTTAGAATATTAATATATCGAACTTGGCCTATTTTTGGCTGTAAACTGCCTTGTCGAATATTAAAACCGAATAAAATAAGTAACAAGAAATGATAAATGATATATGGCAGGGCTACACCGAGACATTTTAACGGTACACAGAATGTAAAGAATGAAGCTGTTAGCTTATAGCTTGCTTATGCAGGGCGAACTTAAAATATTCAGAAAAATTTATTGTTGTAGATTTCGATTACTTCAAGAAATTAAAATAGCTCTTTCCGTGAGATGTGTTCAATGTAATGGTGTTAATAGTGATTAATATCAAGCCCCCAAGATGGCGCAACCCGACGACGATGTTGACCTGCAGCCCTTCTCAAACTCATTGATAATTCATCAACTTTGACAAATCATAACTGTAATGGTGTTTGGACATCGGATTTGAATTCGCATAGATTTTTACGATTTTGATTCTCCGTCTTTTCCCTAGTTGTAGTTTTGATTAAGAAGGTATAGCAAACACTCTAAACAGTGCTTCAACGCAATTCCATTCACTTCGACTTCTGCAATTTCATTTCTCTTCTTGGTGTTTAGAAATGTGATAGAACACGATCTCTCGTGTTTGATAGATTACCTTGGAGGCTGATGAAGTCTATTCGATTAGAATATCTCGTGAAAATCGAAATTATGTCCATCTGAGAAGGGGCGGTGATTGTGTTGGCAAGAAAACATCCCGCTGTATAATTTCCAACCGTGCATCTACAAAAAGATAATGCACACTCAGCTCCAAAAGCGGGTATACAGCTGCTGTATTGTAAACGTAAAAGTCAGATTGCCTTTAACAAAATTTAAGAGCCACCTTGCTTTGAACCTACTTCGCCGCTTTAATATTCCTCCTTCCGACCCGTCATGTGTACTATATATCCGGTCCTTGAGTGCGCAATTAGCATTAATTTCAAATAGAAAGGTACAAAGCTTATCAATAAATGGTAAACAGCGAACTCATAATGCTCTCCTTTGTAATTGATTTCCTTTGGAAACTTATTTGCATTTGACAATGAATCATTTTTTGCACGACTCGAATCATTGTTGAGATATAGATGAAAAGATGGCACCAATATATGTCAAACGGTACCATACCATGCACGGTTCTTCTCTTTCAGTCCTGAATGAATCTCCATCTTCAAAATTACTCCTACACTTTACGTTTCCCGTTTGGACATTGTCGCGAGAAACCACTGACTTCCCAGATATATTTTTGGATTTACTGTTCTCAGGCTAACAAAGCTTATGTAGCTTTATGCGGCAGGGTTCTCTTCTCGCGTTCATTGCCAAGCGTGTCCCCTATTCTGAAACGTTCGTTCAGCTCCCACCGTGCGTTTGATTACATCGTTCA